GAGGAGAGGAGAGGAGAGGAGAGGAGAGGAGAGGAGAGGAGAGGAGAGGAGGATATCCCTGCTCATGGCATGGAGGCTGGAACAAGATGATCTTCAAAGGTCCCTTCCCACCCATTCTATGATTCTATGCTTCTATACCTGATCAGCAGGCACCAAACCCATTGCCTAGAAAAAAGTCAAATTGTCACCATGCTCTATCAGTACAGCCTGCTCCTGTAAAGCCACTTTGGAGCAATTTTGTATCTACCACACAGCTAAAAGGGCTTAAGAGCATTTTTATCAACCAAAATCCTTGTTTGTGAAATAGAAAATGACATGGACAAGATTGGTTTTGTTCCAGATGCAGCAGATACAGCTGTTATTTGATCTTGGCATGTTCTTTTCAACCCTGGATATGTCAAAGTGGTGACTTTTTTGGTTTATTTGTTTATTTGCAAAGAGCCCTGTTGAATATATCCACTACTTTATTTGTGTGTAATTTCAAAGTGTTCAAATACCTTAGTTTTTAATCCTTCTCTCACTGCAGCATGGGAAACTACAGAAAGCTAGCTTCACTCCTGGCATATCAAGCAGGAACAGTCCACATCTGGGTCTAACTTCATTTGATGACATTCAAGAAATTCCATTGCTCCAGGAGTTCTGTGAGGAAAACAAAAGTCAACATTACACAATGCCTTGGTCTGGATGTCTTGGACCAGGGGACCTAATCAAAAATACTGCCTTTGTTACATACAACATACTCAGAGCCCTTGAGCTCCACTGAATATTGGACTGACAGGGGTGACACAGGTGCATCTCTTCTAAAAATCTCAAGCCCGAAAGCAACTACAGCCAGTTTGGCCTCAAAAATAGTATAAATCAAAGCAAACTCATAGAGACATCAGCTCTGCTGCTCATTACTACAGTAATACAACCCTAGAAACAAATTTCAGATTTGCCTTTAAAAGAGTATTTATAAAGAGCTAAATCTCATTCGAGTGGTGTAAGAACATCTTGATAATAGCCTGTATACATTCTATAGGATGAAAACACCTGATTAAATATGTTACATAAACATGATCTTAGCTTTGTGGTTTATCCATTGCAGTACTGAAAAAGTGCTATGCAAAAATACACTTTAAATATTTCATTAACCTTCTTAACTCTGACCCAGCTTCATGATACATGCTGAGAAACTAACAATGTATTTTACATAGCAAATGTATGTCTCTGTCCCAATAATTTCTGAGCAGAGAATAAATAAATGTCGATTTTCCAGCTGTACCAGCTGAGGAAATTATAGGCCCTCCTCAGAAAAACACTTAGCATCTTGTTAATTTGAATAGCTCTGAGGGAAAGCTTCAAGCAGAATAAATGACCCTTTCCTTTAACAAGAAGTAAGGGGCAGCAAATGAGCAAATTTGCATATGGAAAATACTTACTATTCACCAGCACTAAATGTTTCCTGTTCAAACCGGCAACAGAGGAGAATCTAATTCTCTAGAATGTTTTATTGAGGAGCTAGAAAGTTAATGGGAGAGGGAAGATACTACCATGTTTACCTCAGGAAATAAGCTAAAGTCAGGATTGATAATTCTGCTGAAGAGCTCCCAATCTCCATATTAAAGAGGTTCTTATTTGCTTGCTTAAATCCACATCTAAATAAGACAGATCTGAAGAGGCTTCAGGATTAATGCTGGTAGATTCTAATAATTCAAACAAGTTTACAGGATCTTTTAAAGCATACATAATAACTGTAAGGTCAAATGATAACTTAACCAAGACTCTTCAGTGTCTATGATTTTTGTTTACTGCCCATTTACCTTGTGACAACTGAGAAAGGCTCAGTTTCACAGAGGAGGATCACAGTTTTCCCAAAAACAGACTTTCTCAGATATTTTGTGAAGGCCACTCAGATATTAAAGATGTTATTGCATTAAAGTAATCCATATCTTTGGAAAATCTTAGCCACAAGGGAACTGGCTTCTCAGCAATGCTGCAAGCTGTATGAGATAACCAGCTCGACTTTCATTTTCTGGCTAGCTCATAAGGCAGCCCCTTCTGAAAACAAGCTATGAAAATACAGTCTGCTTGAAGTATTGCAAGAGGCTGTACCATTGGGGAAGTAGAAAATTCTTATATTCCCCTCACTGCATGACAAAATCCAACTGATAGTGCTCAGGTGTCCTCTTTAAGCAATCTCAGAGAAACTGCCTCACCATTTTGGCAGCCATCCAGAGTGTGTATTTTGTGTCCAAAGTTGAGGGAAAAATTCATAGAGGCAAATGATTTTACAGGAAGACTGACACACAAAAAAATCAGTTGGAGTATTTTTAACAGAAGCAAATGTTTCATACTGTTTTCCCTTCAAAGGCCTGGCTGCAGCTCTTGTTTAGTTTCTTTTGTACTTGGCTAGATCCCAGTGTATGATTTGCAGAACATAATCTGCCTTTCCTGTACCTATGGGTTTTTTGGTAGCTCAGGATTAGCATCCATTGGAAAAAGCATTTTTGAGATCTCAAGGCAGCATATTCAACTGCACTCACCAAAATCTGTGTTAATAGGATCAATAGCAGTGTGTGGGTTATATGACCCAGGGAATAACTCATCTTGAGCACCTCATCAGTCATTAGTAGTCACTGAAAAAGCCATAGGATTCCAACAGTGACTGCGGGTAGATATCAAATTTAATTGCAGCCAGAATTAAGTGTTTTAGGCTGGAGAGATTTTGTTTAAACAACTCTGTAAGTGGCATAAAGCTGGCCCACTACAGCTACATAGCTGTTTCACATGGAGCACTGCATGTAAAAAATACCATAAAAGAAACCTTATCAATCTCTACAACTGAAAGGAGGTTGTAGTGAGGTGGGGGTGAGTCCCTTCTCCCAGGTACAAAGTGAGAGGAGGAAATGGCCTCAAGTTGTCCCAGAGGAGTTTTAGGTTGGATATTAGGAATTTTTTTTTTTTTTTTAACCTAAAGGGTTAAAAAGACATGTAGATATGACGTTTGTGACATGCCTTAGTGTTAGGCATGGCAGTGCTGGGTTGATGGGTGGACTTATTGATTTTTCCTGTCTTAGTGACTATGATTCTGCAAAAGTAAATTCTCTTCCTCTCAGCTGCTCAGGTTCCCTCCACAGTGCATGTTGGCTGCCCTAATCCAGCGATGCACAGCAACCACAAATCCACTCGGATGACCAATGTGACATGAACAGCAAGCACACGGCAGCAAGAATGTGTTGTCTGAAAGTCTGACTTTCAGACAAAGAGGGCATGTATGCATGTATAAGGGGTGTGAAGAAAATCTGTACCTTGGTTTAAGAGCTGTACATTTACATGCAAAGTTGAATAAGGAGTTGGAAATTCCACTATCACTACATCATCACTGTTCCATCTGTCATGTGTCAGCAGAAGCATACCACTGCACTGGACAGACAGTGTGGCCTTGGTGGGGAGAGAGGTAGAGAAGAATGAAGCTGTGAACAGACTGCAAAGAAAATATCTTCATGTCATCCACACCTCTGATTTTTATTTGAGCATTGTCTTTACCCTCTTCCTGCATTCCATTTATATTGTTGTGCTCTCAGTAAGGGAACTGTTCTATACTGACTATCCAGCCTAAATCACACAAGACCTGACAGCTCCCCAAAGCCTGCCTATAGTTTCTGGGTGACACCAAAGAGACAAACTCTTTAGGCCACTGTCCCTTTCAGTGCAAGAGCATGGGCCATGAGGTGAAGTTAGGAAAGACCAGGTGTGAAACAAACAACAGATGGCTCTTCATTTAATGGTTTGTCCATTGTCCCTTTTGTACCTGTGTCTTAGGGACAGGGATTAGTCCAACTCTGAAACACCGTCAAAGCACTCCCTCAGAAACTAAGAAGGATGAAAAAGAGAGAAAGCAGAGAAAAGGAAAAATCAAAGGACTGGGAACAGTGGCTGAAAAGAAAGAAAGACATGGCAACAAACGGATAAAAAATTAAAAGTAAGGAACTGCAGAGGGGCAAAGCACAAAGGGCTAACCCAGCACTTCCAGCACTCTGGTGAACTGCTGGAACAGTATTGCTCTTCTGTCCAGGGACAGAAGGACAAATGAAAAGAAACCTCACAAATTTGGGGATCAGTGAAGCTCAGACCTGTTAACTGACTGGCTTGGCCATGGATAGAAGGAAGTAGGTGAGGAGGTCCAACATTGCGGTGGAGTCTTAGTTGAGACAAAGGAAAATAAAAAGATGAGAGGAAAAGTGCAGGTGCAGGAAGAAATTCTATGAGAGCAGAAAGATGGAACACAAACTGATAAGCCTTATCTAAATATATGATACCCTTCATCTTGCAGAAAACACGTAATTCTGCTTATGAGCTGCTCTATGAACACATTTCTGTAATAGAACCATAGAATAATTAAATGGTTTCTGTTGGAAGGGACCTTTGAAGAACCTCTAGTCCAAACCCCCTGCAATGGGCAGGGATATCTCCCACTAGAGCAGGTTGCTAAAAGCCCCATCCAATCTGGCCTTGAACACTGCCAGAGAGGGGGCATCCACAACCTCTCTGGGCAACCTGTTCCTGTGCCTCACCACACATACTGTAAAAAAATGCACTGCCTGAGTGGGATTTTTCACTTTTTGTCCACAGTGATGAGAGACACTAGATCAGATATAAACTCAAAGGTGGGATACCAGGCTAAATAAAATCAGTGAAGAAAACAGGAAGAGAGGAAGAAATATCATTCTCAGGACAGAACATTTGGGTAATAACTCTCCTGGATATAGGGAGTGAAGGCACAGAGCCACGTGAATGATGACTGGATTCTCTTTGCATCTGTTTTCAGCAGAGCTTGACACTGTTACCAGTACAGTTCTGGGAGTGCTGAGAAGTCAGGGATCCTGACTGGGATCAGTGCTGTTTGTGCTGTATATGCCAGCAGGTTTTATTTCTCAAGTCTGATCACAAGAAACAAGAAGAGACCGTAAACAGACAGTGGCACATTAAAAGAAAATGGTAGGTTAAGAAAGGAACACCTATCTATCTTGTCACTGACATTTGGAAGACATCTATCACCTTGTTTTCTAAATCCCAAACAAATTTACAGAATTAAAGAGTTCAGAGGAACCATGTATTTCTCTCTGCTCTTCTGGAATGACAGTGATATGTCAACTGAGTCTTAAATAGATGCTGTATAGAGGCATCCTTCCTTTTCCAGAATTTGGAGCCCTCACTGAGTGAGCTGGATGGAGGAAGACTAGTTTGTGGCATAAATTTAAGTGCAAGAACACAGACTTTCTGCCATGTACCAGTTAGACATTTTTTCAGTTGTACAGTTCTTCATCTAATATAGAATTCATAATTGTCTTGGGGAATCCTATCCAGATCCCACAAGGAATGCATTGTTCTAAGTGGGTGGGGACAATACCTTTCTATTGGTACTGGTATTGGACATTCCCACTAGGATACAAGTTAGAGGCCCTGTTTTGGCCCCCACCATACTTGGATGGCATATCTTATTCACTGGGAGTTACAGTCTTTGCAAATGCATTCCAAATTCTGCTTGATTTAATCAGTGCAATTTTCTTTTTCCTAATGGACTGGTCTTTCCCTCTGCAAGCCAGGAACAATTCAGCTGCATTAAGAGCATGGAGGGCTCACTGGTACCACAGAAA